CCATCCCTCTCCCTCACCCCGGCCCCTGGCCACCTGCTCAGCTGGGCCCTCCCCGTCTCGAGGCTGAGAGTCCGACAGGGTTTTCAGAACAGCATCTGGAAGGCAGAGCCTGAGAGGCTCACAGAAACCAGCCGCGTCACCAGGCAGCCAGGGCCTGGCCATGCCTCGTCCCGCTCCCAGGCAGGCCTCACCGTCTCCTATATTCTCTTTGGCAGGAATCCTCAGAGAGCACCAACACCACCATCGAGGATGAAGACACCAAAGGTAGGGAGGGGCCTTCAGGTCCTGGAACCAGCTGGGCAGACCCCCTTCCTGACAGCTCCCACGTGCCAACCTCATTTCTTGCTCGTCTGCAGAGAGCATCGCTGTGGTTCTTATAAATGGCACACTGGCAGGCACCATTCCCATGGGGGGCACTAGACCCACTGCTGGTGTGTAGAAAAGTTTTCTTATTTATTGATTTTTATTTTATTTTATTGAGATGGAGTCTCTTTCTGCCACCCAGGCTGGAGTGCTGTGGCATGATCTCAGCTCACTGCAACCTCCACCTCCTGGGTTCACGTGATCCTCCCGCCTCAGCCTCCCAAGTGGCTGGGATGACAGACACCAGCCACCACGCCCAGCTACTTTTTGTATTTTTGGTAGAGACGGGGTTTCGCCATGTTGGCCAGGCTGGTCTCAAACTCCTGACCTCAGGAGATCCACCCGCCTCGGCCTCCCAAAGTGCTGGGACTACAGGTGTGAGTTGCCACGCCCGGCTGGTTTTCTTATTTTAGAGGTTATATATTTAATGTGTATTAGAGAAATATTTAACATATTCAAGTCATAAATGTATGGTAATGGTATACATGTTCCTTTTGAAATAAGTGTTTTTGAGTTTTTTATAAAAGTGAATTGATTGTAAAAACGTGAAGTAATAGTAAAGGAAGGGAGAGCCAAAATCGAGAAAGCTCCGGTGGCTGGAGTATGGGAAACACTGTGTAAGACCCACCAAAGATGCTGGTGCCACGGGAGCTCGTGGCCAGCAGTCCTCAAAAGCTCTCAGGTGGGGGAGGAAGCAAAGCGCCAGGTAACTGATAGGATTATGAGTGGGATCAAAACAAAATAAGCGCCGCCATTTATGAAGCATTTGTCATGCACTAGCCCCGGTCCCAGCACCTTATCCGGACTGACTTCCTGGAGCGTCACAATAGCCCATGAAGTAGGTGCTGCTCTGATCCTCATTCTACAGCTGAGGAAACAGAGAACAGAGGGGCCGAGTACTTTGGCCTGTACTCTGTGGTCCTGTACTCTGTGGTCCTCATAAGGATGGTGCTAGGATTTGAATTCAGGCGGTCGGATTCTAGAGCCTGGCTGGTAACCACCACTCTGAAGGCCCTGGTAGTAGAAAGTGGGCTTGGAGCTTGGAGGAAGGGGCAGGGACTGCTGACTTCTGCCTTGGGGACACCAAATCCTCCATTGTTAGCAGCCAGCATCCTCCTTCCCCAGGACAGGGAGCTCAATGGTTCACACACTCAGGTGTGTAGCAAAGATGCTTGGTGGTGGTGGTGGGGGCAGTGGTCTCCGAAATATAAAAAAAGGCCATCGACCTGGAGGGAACTCGGCAGTACCAGCTTAGATATTTTGTCTTAGACTATAGAGATGGGAAAAAGAGCACTGTGTTATGTAGGAAACATTTTTGTATAATTGTGATTCAGGCTTTAAGGCAGTTTTGACACACCACATGCCACAGCTGCCTCGCGTCGCTGCCAGGATGCCTGGAAGATGAGCCCCACCCCGTGTGTATCCCTTCCTGGTCATTCCCAACTTGGGGCATGGTGGGTGCTCTATCACCACAACCTGGCCCTGGAGCAAATCCATCTTCTGTGATGGCACCAGGGACAACCTTTAAAAATACATTATCTTGAACTACTCAGGAGGCTGAGGCAGGAGGATCACTTGAGGCCAGGAGTTTGAGGCTGCAGTGACCTGTGATGGTGCCTGGGAATAGCCATTACACTCCAGTCTAGGCAACATACCAAGACCTTGTCTCTTAAGAAAAAAAATGATGAGAAAATACATTATCTTGAAGAATTCCTTGGTAGGGTCAAGCCAGCATTCTGAATTTCACAAAAGTCCAGTGTTCTAAACACATTCCCAGGCCTGCCTCTGTGAATTCTGACTTCATAGGTATGTGGCAGGCCAAGAAATGGTGCTTCTAAGCCGTTCCCCTTATTTGAGGCTAGCTGCCCAATGATAAGAGTTGGGCTCTGGGATGTTGAGGAGACTGGATGTAGCCACATAATCCTGGCCTCAGAGCAGGCAGAAACTGTGGGGATAATCTGCTCCATCTTCTCCACGGGAGTCCATTTACTGAATGACCTCAGACAACTTGCTTAACCTCTCTGAGCTTCAGTTGCCTTAACAGCAAAGAGGTGATGAAAATAGTACCATCCTCAGAGGACTGCTGTGCAGATGAAATGAGAAGATGCATATGAAGCGCACATGTAGCGTTTGGCCCAGGGTAACTGTTTAACAAATCTCAATTTCTTTTTTTCAAACTGGAGTTCATGGTTGAATGACAGGCAGCCAGGTGACATTTTCTTGGAGCACCAATTTTACTCAAAGATGATTTTAAGGCAAATTTATATGTTAAACAGACAGATAAATATTTGGAATAGAATACAAAATTCGGATGTACTGTTAGTGTAAATTAGCCATCAAAGACATTTTTCTCTTGGGGTAATGGCTTTGGGCTGCATCCCTGAGGTCTCATATTTGCAATCCTTATCCTGTGCTTCGGAACAATCAGGATGGGGCAATTTGTAGTCTTGAATTTTGGCTCACTTTCCAGATTTCCCCCATTCCCAGAGGGAAATCTGGGGCATAGGAAGGAGAAAGGGTACATATGGCTTATTACTGGTAGGACTGGGCCCCTGTTTCCTGCCTCAATTTCCCCACATGTAAAAAAACTCAGAAGCCACGTCTGATGGAAGAAATACTCAGCCAGGAGCTTCTCTCCGTGTTTGGCAAGAGAAAGGAGCCCGTGTGCCTCCCCCAGCCTCTCCCGGCCTCAGAGAAATTTTCCAGAGAACTATTTTCTGGTGTTAATTTGTTAAGTCTTCTTACAAAGTGAGAATAGCAGCTGGTGGGGTGGACTCTGACCTGACATGAAAGTTAATTAGAAATGTCATCCTCCAGGGAACATATTCCCCTGAGGAGAGAAAGAGACATTAATATTTCAGAGGCCCTCTGGCTCCCTGCCCTCTGAGCTGTGTGAGGCTCTGCCTCCTCCCTACTCCCCCATCTCTTCCTGATTCGCTCCATGAAAAATTAATTTCCTCTCCAACTAAAGAGTTGTCTCTGCCCGAGGCAGAGACATTCTGGGAAATATCAGTCAGGAACGCTGATCCCATCTCAGTCTTAGCATGCTGTATTATCTTGAGAAAGTGTCCTAACCTCTCTGGGGTCTGGGCTTTCCCATCTGTAGGGGAGCATTCCCGGATTGTCTGGGTGAATAGCTGGCAGATGAGAAAGGCCAGCGGTTGCTACTGAGCAGCTGCTGAATGAACACAGCAGTGGGGCTGCTGAGGACATGGAAGAGGCCCAGAATCAGAGTGGACTTCTCTAGATGTAAGAAGCATCAGGACCCCAGATCTTCTGTCCCACAGAACAAAGCAAGGGAGATTCCTGCCCACTAGGCTTTATTGTTGGTAAACTAGATGTCCCGAGTAGGTGGAGGCACAGCCAAATCAGCCACTGTCTCAGGTTACATTAATAGAGGTATAATATTCAGAATTGGGGAGGAGATAGAGAGTGCTACCCCAGACCTCATACACTGCATTATTCAGGCCAAACCTGAGATTGTGTGAGCATACTCAGAGAGGTGTCTAGACAGCTCCAGGACCTTCAAGGATTAAATCGCCAGCTTGAGTCAGTACCATATCCTGGAGGCCCTCAGCCCTGAGAAGAAAAGACTGGAGCAGGTGTTCACTTCAGGGCCCCAGAAAGCAGAAAGAAGACAAGAACTATATCTAGGGACTTTTGGAAGGGCAGATCTCAACTAGAAAGAGAAGGAAGTAAAAATAACCAGAGCCGTCCAACAGTGCAGCCAGCTTCCCGGCAGGCAGAGAGCCCCGCGTTCAGCCAGAGCCACACCCCTCACACCCGGCTGCTGGGAAACATCCCTGCCCTGGCTAGAGACTCCAGGATGTCCTCAGGAGGAACTTCCAATTCAGAGATTCCCAGATGATAATAACCACGCTCTCATTTCCCAAGTGCAAGGCACTGCGCTAACTTCTTTACATAATGCAGCATCCTTTACATAAGTGCGTCGATCTAAAGGACCCGGAGTAGCAGCTGGCTCTCTGTGAGGACCATGTACATGTTAGCTATTTCTGTTGACATAGTCTTAACTCACTTAATCCTTAGAACAACTCTACAAGGTAAGTACTATTAGTATCTTCATTATACATATAGGGAAACTGAGGCATGGGACATTCCCTTGCCCAAGGGAACAGCTATTAAGTGGCAGAGCCAGAATTCAAATCCAGGGAGTCTGGCACCGGAATCCATACCCTCAGCCACTATGCTAGACTGAGATGGCAGTGAGAAACAGCCCAAGGAAATGAGCCACTGAGCACAGGCTGGTGGAATGATGAGTCAGAAGGGTCTTAAAGTCCATGCAGGGAAGGCAAGGAGGGTGACGCGGGTCCCATATCAGAAGCACATGGATTTGCTCTGGTGGTCAGCCCTGATTCCATGTGGGAGTGCTTAGAAAGAGGTGGCTCTGGACCAGGCACAGGGGCTCACACCTGTAATCCCAGCACTTTGAGGACAACGTGGGTGGATCATCTGAGGTCAGGAGTTCGTGACCAGACCGGCCAACATGGTGAAACCCCATCTCTGCTACAAATACAAAAATTAGCTGGGTGTGGTGGCACAGGCCTGTAATCCCACCTACTTGGGAGACTGAGGCAGGAGAATCACTTGAACCCGCCGAGATCGCAAGCACCACTGCACTCCAGCCTGGGCAATACAGAGAGATCCCGTGTCAAAAAAGCAAAAACAAAACAAAACAAAAAGCATGTAGCTCTGGCCGGGCTAGGCTTCTTCCCATCCTCAGTCTTCAGCTTCTAGGAAGGAGGGCACAGGCCAGGTTCCGGATGTCCTAGGGACAGTGGCTCCGGCCGCGCTAGGCTTCTTCCCATCCTCAGTCTTCAGCTTCTAGGAAGGAGGGCACAGGCCAGGTTCCGGATGTCCTAGGGACAGTGGCTACCAGGCAACTTGGGCAAGTCCATGGGGCAGGACAAAGATAGCAGCCCAGACCCTAGTTTGGTCCCATTCACTCATTCATTCATTCATTCATTCACTCAACACTTATGTATTGAGTGCTGCTTCTGCCCCATCCCCGAACATCTCCCCAGAGGGGGAGGTACAGCAACACCTGTGTGACCCAATGGCATTCATGGTCTAAAAATGGACTCATTCCCAGCCCAGGTGGCTCTGATTGGAGCCAGGAGAGAGAGAGAATTACCTGTTCACAGTCGTGGCTGACATTGAATGATCATCGCTACAATCTACCAAGGGTGGTGCTGGGCATGGTATGGGAGAGTGTGATGGGCTTTAGAACTGCAAACTCTGATGAGGGTCCCAGCTCCACTGGAGCTAATTATTTAGCTTCTCTCACTTTCAGTTTGCTCATCTGTGACGTGAAAGTGGAGTTGTGCTATGTGGCTCTGGAACTTGGTAGACTAAGCACACAGCACATGGCCTGGTATACTCACTCACTCATTCATTCAATGATGAAGGCCTGTGGAGGCAGAGTCCGTTTCAGGCTCCAGGACACAGTAAGCAAGGGATGCACAGCCCAGCCCCTGTGAGCTCGTCTATGAGTTGGCGCATACATAAGCATTCAGGCGAAGCAATTGCGTGAGGTTAGTGTTATGAAAGGCAGTGAGCTGGGGCTTCAGGGGCCTATGGAAAAGGCCCTGGGCAAGGAGCCCAGCTCTCCACCTGGTATGTGCCATGTCCTTGGGCAAATCACAACCTCCTCACTAGGCCTCAGTTTCTCTAAAGTTTGATAAGGATGTTCTGGCCTCCAAGGGTTCTCTTAACCTGGATGTTCTATGATTCTGTATCCTCTGGGCCTGAGGTGAGCTCCTGTGTGGGATGGCGTGGCGTGGGCAACCAGTGAGGACAGGGCTGGTGAGGGCCTCTGCTAGGCTTGAACTCCCTCCCAGGCTCCCAGACTGAGAAGTGCTGAGGCCAGACTTGAGCTTGCAATCCAGACAATGTTTTCATCTCTTCACCCGAGACAGCTCCAGTGGGCCAATGAGCTGGCCAGGCTTAAAGCCAAGTGTAAGCCTGCGGAAGGAGGGAAAGCGGGCCTGCCTCTGGGAGACGGAGCAAGCCTCCTGTTAGGCTCTGCCAGGAGCCAGGACGCCTGGCTTCAAATTCATCCATCACTGAGGCTCAGTCACCTCGTATGTGAAATGGAAGGAAGCTGGTCTTGCCTACCTCCCAGGGTGTTAGTGAAGAGCAGAGGCAACCCCTGGCAGGGGCACAGGGAAACAGGACGTGGCCGCACTTCAGAGGTGCATCCCCTGTGTGCCAGGCTTTGGCCATTGCTTCGTGTGCATCACCTGACCCCGCCCTCATAACCAGCCTGGGAGAACACTATCATCTCCATTTGACAGACCAGCAAACCACCTTGTGGCCCGCAGTTGCACAGCTTGTGAGGACCTGCACAGTCATTTAGGTGAACATCTGTCTAAGCTGAAGCCTGGATTCTTTCCACTATGTATTTGGCTCTGAATGAATGAGAGGTGGTGGTGTCCCCATTTTACAGATAAGAAAACTGAGGCTCAGAACATCACACATCTAATAAGACTGCCATCTAACACCACCAGAAAGACCAGCTGTTTGTGGTGTTTCAATGGCAGGCAGGGGAGGGCCAGGTCTCAGCAACTGGGATTCATTATTCCTAGAAAGTTCTAAACAGCTTGGTGTCTAATTCCTATTGGCACTCAAATAAAGCAAAAAGCTCACCTAGGTTCAAGTGATGTGTATACCCTAAGACTTTTCTTAGTGGTCCTGGTTTTGGCCATAAGGAAGCCCCTGGTTCATGGCTGTCAGTGACAGTGCCACAGTTGACCCTGTTTTGATTCACATGGCAAAGCCAAGGTGGTAGGAATACGTATTTGGGAGCCAAGACCTGGAGTCACATCAGGTGTAGAGTCAGAATGTCCACCATGTGTTAGCGGCAAAGACCATCAACGGAGACACTGGCTCTGCTGATTGTAGCTGGGGAACTTTCACGCCTGTTTTGCCTTTCTGGGCCTCAGTTTCTTCTGTGGAACAGGGGTGATGACGCCTATCCCCCAGCAGCAATGCGAGGATAAATATCATCTGCATGAGGCCTTCACGTCCCAGCACAGGGTCTGGCACATGATAAGGACTCAAGAAGTGGTAGCTGGTGCTTCCTTACCATCGCTGTTATTATCATTATTTCTGTGTCCCCTTCTGCCTTACAGTGCGGAAACAGGAAATTATAAAAGTGACAGAGCAGCTGATTGAAGCCATAAGCAATGGAGATTTTGAGTCCTACACGTGAGTCAGCTGGGCTCATTCTGCATGTCCTGCCTGGATCGTTGTTCAGCGGGTACCGATGGCTAGCTTTGGGGATCCTCGTCTCCGACCCTCATCCACTCACTTTGCATGTGCTGTGAATCAGACTGAACTCACATTTCTATTTGCATCTGGACTTGATGCTTATATTGAGCTTTCTGTTCGCAACACTTCTCTATATGTCAGTCCTCCTCCTCCTGTCCTTCCTCCTCCTCACATCTTGTTCCCTGGGAGGAACGCCAACAAAACTCCCTTGCTTCCCCAAGGAAAGAGGGGGTGGACAGCATCATAGCATGGGCCTCTCAGGAGATGAGCTGGGAAGGTGGGAAGTGAGACAGGCCCCTTTCATTCCTGCCCAATGGGCCTGGGCACTCACCCTACACTCCCTTGGACCTCTGACCTCAGATGGGCAGGAGCAGGCAGGATCCACAGGGAGTGTCCCTTTGGTGAGCAGGCATGAGCAGAAGTACCTCTAAGCAAAATCTGAACTCCTCTGAGAAATAAGGCAGCATGCACAAAAATTACATAAAATGAGACATCCCATACACACCTGGACTCGCCTTTGGAGGGGCAGCTCTGTGTGTGAGGGCTGAGTCGAAGCACCTGTGCTGCCCACACACGCCTTTCCTGGCCTGGCCCAGAAACAAACTTCGGCCAGGCCCTCAGCTGGCCCCGGGGAGAGTGAATATTCTGGGCTTAGTCCTTAACAGTTTGGCCAGTGCTGACAAGGCCTGGGCCTGGAGACCAGACATATGCATTTTAGAGGACAAAGACTGCCCACCAGGGCAGAGTGATTTTTCCCTGCTGGGTTAAGGTGAGTTAGGCATAGCCTGGCTGGGGTTCGCTCCTTGGGCAGCCTGATCCTGGTTTCCAAGGTGCCCAGAGCTGGTTTGCCTCCCAAAGCCTTGGCAGGCCAGGTGCATTCTAATTGTGGAAGGGTTTTCAGCAGCAGCAGGTGACAAAGCCCCCTAGAAGGTCACTGGCTCCCTTTGGAAGAACAGGGGCTTGGAAGATGCATGTGTGGAACTGAGGGTGACGTGTGCATATGTGTATGCATGCACTTGTACACATGTGTGCACGTTTGGGACTGTGCACAAGGAGGGTGCGCAGGTGCGTGTGCGTATGTATACCGGAGTGTTGCACTGAAGCATGGAAATAGGCTGTTAAGCTGGTCTCGCAGCCAGTTCTAGAAAGAGTGAACTTGGAATGTATCATGCCAGTGGCTCTGGAAGGACCCAGCCAGGGAATGAAGGAAAGCGAGGTGGGTCCTGTGGTCCCCAAGCTCCTCAGTGGCACTTCTGGGGGTCCTGGGGAACCCCTCACACCTATGGGATGTCACTTCTTCTGACATCTGCAGCCTGCTCTACATTCTGACCCCTTGCCATGACCTCTGGGTCCAGGATGCCCTGTGTAACCCTGAATCTGTTCCTTCATCTCTCTGAGCCTCAGTTTCCCCATAGGTACAGTGGAGTTGGGGCAATGGCCTCCAAGTCCCTTCACTCTAGGAGGCAGGAATACCAAGGAGCCTCCAGGGTTGGGGCTTCTTCAATGGGGGTGTGTAGTCTCCCACATGCCCAGACCCCCACCTTTGGGGGATTCTGGAGCTGAAAGGGTCCTGGGCACCCCGCTTGGTCTGAGCACAGTCCCCCAGCCCCTGGCGTAAGCCTTCCGGAGAATCTGGGGTCATGAGTAGAGAAGCAATTTGTCTAGGGCCACTGAAAGAGACAGAACAGAGCAGGGACAGTGCACCCTGTAAATGTTTTCTCCAGCTCAGACGGTGCTGGGCCTGACGCTCCCTCCTGGGTGTCCCCAGTTCTACCCTAGGTTGAGAGCTTTGCTTGTCCTGGGACATTTCCTGTCCCTGGCTTCATTGCTTTTGCCACGGGGGTCCATGTTATGCCACAGAAGATCCCACAGACCTGTTTCCCTGGAACGAGGAAAAGACAGCTTGTTCCCTTCCCTTGTCTGGCTGTCAGGGTCTCCCAGAAGACTAAGACTTGGAAGGGAACAACAGCTGAAAATACACAGCCTCCGTCATGCCCTGTGCTTCTCCCAGATATTACCTCATCTAATGCTATTTTATCATCCTACAGAAGAGGAAACTGAGGCTCACAGCCAAGGTGGCCGGTAACAATAGGGAACCCTTGTTCAAATTAGCAAAACTCGCCCCTTCCAGGTATATACCTGGCTTGATGGGCAGAAGTCACTTTTATGTGAAGGAAAAGGCAGTGCCCCCAAGTCCCGACTCCACAGGAAGATAAATAGGAAAAAGCCCCCTCTGGATCCACTGCCCTGAACCAGGGAGCGCAATTTGGAGAGTAGAGAGCAAACGGAATTTCCTCCCCACAGCACCGTTAGTGCACTGCGCAGCCCTGCACACCATCCATTAGTGCACTGCGCAGCCCTGCACACCATCCATGGTGCTCTCGCTTAAAGCGGCTAAGCCACTTGCTTGGGGTCTCAAAGCCACTGGTGAGCCAGGGCCTGAACTTAGGCTTCCTGGATCTAGATGGCACACACCAGTCAGTGATATCCCATACTTTATAGCTTGCTTGCAAGCCCCTTCCCGTCCACTAACTTCAACGATCCTGTGAGGTGGGTGTAATCATTCCTATTTCACAGGCTCACCCTCCAAGGGTCCAGTGAGAAGCCGCCCCAGCCCCTCTTTCCTCTGGCTTCTTTCCCCCAGGAAGATGTGCGACCCTGGCATGACGGCCTTCGAACCTGAGGCCCTGGGGAACCTGGTTGAGGGCCTGGACTTCCATCGATTCTATTTTGAAAACCGTGAGCAATTCCTTCTCTCTGTGGTGCCTGTTGTCTGCTCTCGTTCCATGTCCTGCCGGATGGCACAGCAGGGTGACGGGCAGGGCCCCAGGGGCGGCTCAGGAGCCAGCGAAGAGGAAGCTCCCATGTGGACTGGGGTTGGTACCCTCTTGGTTCCCTCTCCTAACCCTGGCCCATCGACTACCAGCTGCCCCTCCTGTGGTTGAAGATGGGGCAGGCAAGGTCCCAGAGACTAGGGATACTCAGGACAAGCCCTCCCAGGCCTCTCCTGCCCATGACTCTAGGCAGGGTCTGGGGAGGGCCTGATTCCCATATTATAGATAAGGGAGCCTTCCCACTGGCACATACACCCAAGTTACAGTCATCTTGATGCCTAGGGCCAGCTGAGCTGCCCAGCTGGTCACAAGCTGGCTGGTGGGTTGTTATGCAAGTGGCCTCTGTGGGTGGGCAGTTTGGGAAAGAGGTGAGGACAGCGAGCTCACACTGCTGTGCCCCTGCCTGTTGTCTAGGTCTCTGCCCTGCATGTCTGTCCTTCCTCGGCCTCTCCTTTGCAGGAGAGACCTTGGCAGCTTTGCAACCAGGAGCTGTTAGCGGGTAGAGGCTGGGCCTGACCTATGGTGCTTTCTGCCTGTGTCTGTGTTTCCCTAGGCCAGGGGTCAGGTAGGGCTGAATTAAAATGCACACAGATTAGAATCATGCAGCTTAGGACAGGGAGGAAGTACCTAAGAAGTGGTATGTCCAGGTTCCCCCAAAGTCAAGGGCGTGTACCACTGAGGCTACACAGTAATTTCAGGTGTATGTGGGCACCACTTAAAACAGCATTGGTTTACACAGTCAGAGAGCTTTCCTTCTTAATTTTCTTTCAATACTCTGGCTTCATCAGGTGGAAAGTCTTTGCTATTTCCCTCTTTATCAAAGAGAAAACAAATCTCAGGCTCAGATCTCTTTCAGGCAAGAGCATGGTGCAAGGATTATGTAACTTTCTTTCATTTTCACCAGCCTTATTATTAGAACTTTATTCATGATACTGATTGTTCATTAATGGTTATGTCAATATGTTTTCTTTTAAAATCTATAGCCAGGTGCAGTGGATCACGCTTGTAATCCCAGCACTTTGGGAGGTTGAGGCGGGTGGATCCCTTGAGGTCAGGAGTTCCAGACCAGTCTGGCCAACATGGTGACACCCCTCTCTTCTAAAAATACAAATATTAGCTGAGCGTGGTGCTGGGTGCCTGTAATCCCAGCTATTCGGGAGGCTGAGGCTGCAGTGAGCCGAGATTGTGCCACTGCACTTCAGCTTGGGCGACAGTGAGTCTCAGTCTCCACACACACACACACAAAATTATAGAAATTAGTAAAGTGAATCAATTCAGGGAAATACTTTCCTTCTTTTTTTTTTTTTTGAGACTGAGTCTCACTCTATCACTCAGGCTGGAATGCAGTGGCATGATCTCCCCTCACTGCGACCTGGGTTCAAGCGATTCTCCTGCCTCAGCCTCCTGAGTAGCCGGGATTACAGGCACCTGCCACCATGCCCAGCTAATTGTTGTATTTTTAGTAGAGACAGGGTTTTACCATGTTGGCCAGGCTGGTCTTGAACTCCTGACCTCAAGTGATCTGTCCACCTTGGCCTCCCAAAATGCTAGGATTACAGGTGTGAGACACCATGCCTGGCCTGGGAAATACTTTAATGAAGTACAGGTGGCACTTGTGAATGGTAAAAATAATGAAGAATGTACTTCAGTGACTGAAGTAGGATCTAGTCCAAGTCTTCATCATACAGAGGGGAAACTGAGGCTCAGAGAGGGGAAGTGACTTGTCTAAAGGAATCCAGAAAGCCAATGGCAGAACCTAGAGCTGACTCACCCCAGTGCCCTTTCCCTTCCCTGTAGCACCTGCTGCATCTGCAC